GCTTCTAAATCACAGCACAGTGCCTGGCACATGATTGTGTTAGCTGTTAATTATAGCTCTTGTTTATTTTTGCTATTAAGGATTTTTTTTCCTAGTTCTTAGTCATGTTTAGAATAGGAAATATTGCCAGATAAGCTGAATTCAGCCTAGTTCAGATGTCACCCTAACAATTGCTATGTAAATTAGTGGAAATTTCTTATCTCTGGCATCTAAAAAACTAACGCTTTCACTGGGGTGATTGTGGTTTTGTCGTTGAAACATGGAGTTGAAATTGAGATTTCTTCACCTACATTTTTTGTAGCAGATGAAGTATATTCTCAGTGTAAGAACAATATGTGTAGAATGCTACCATTGTGAAAAATGGGGGGAAAGAAGGCTACCATTTATGTAAAAAGAATACATATTCATATAATTTCGTGGATTATATTTGGAAAGATTCCTAAGAGACTACTAACTATGGTTGCCTTAGGGAGAGGAACAGGGTGGCCAGGGGTTGTGGGTAGGAAGGGAGACTTAGTTTTTATTACCATGTGCAAGTATTACCTATTTAAAACAGTTAATAAAGAAAGGAGTAGACTGAACGTGTAGGCCACAAGGTCAGAGGACCTAAGAATTGACCTTTGGCTGCTTGGTCTGGACATTCCATGTAGCTGACTATCTAAGATGTTGGCCCCGCCTTCTGCTGTGCTTTTTCCTTGAAAAAGAAGACACAAAAGTTCTTCACAATAGGAATACTTTCTGTCCTTAACTACCTAGAGAATTTTATTCAGAAGCTCACGGTAAAAATTAATTGAGCTTTTAGTTAGCTGAATATGGTGCTGGTGAATGGACAGTGCTGGGGGGTTGAATCTTATTTTCCCAGCCGAACTCTTGGGAATCTTCATTATACTCCCTGTTGATGAGAAGAGAAGACTGATTCTTTGTTTTGATTTTGTAACTTTAGTTATGTGTGATTTATTTGAAAGCGAGTGTTTATTGAACTAATTAGGTACAATGTTTTAGGATTAATTAGAATTTGCTCTTCTTTCATTTATGAGGCTTGAATCCATATGTTCTAAACTGTTAAAGCAGCAACAATAGGTACAGTTTATAACAAATTTTCCTGGTTGCATAACAAACTTTCCTGGTTGCATCTTTTTCTTTTAAAGATAGTATTTATTTTTAGAGAGAGAGGACAGGAGAGAGAAGGAGAGGGAGAGAAACATTGATTGGCTCCCTTTTGTACACGCTGCAACTGGGGACCTGGCCCACAACCCTGGCATGTGCCCGGACCAGGAACTGAACCTGCAGCTTTTTGGTTTGTGGAACGACACCCAACCAACTCAGCCACGCAGGTCAGGTCAGGGCTGGTTGCATAGCTCTTAGAAGGCAAGTGCACACTTTAGCTTATACTTCTGAATCAGTCTATCCTGAATACCATAGTTCCATTAAAGTAAATATTCACTGAATTAGTCATTTTCCGGCTCTGGTGATGTTAATGTTTGATTACAGGGTACAGGGTTGAGGCCGGGAAGAAAGAGTTAACTTCTCAGAGACTCATCTGCTATCAATGCCAAGGTGCTAGTGTTATTTATTATACTCCTTCTTCAGTGGCTTTCCATTGTCTACTGAATAAAGTCCAGACTTCTTTTGCATAGTTTTGGTTTCAAAGCCTTTTATGACCTCGCTAGCATATATTCTTCTATTTCCTATACCTGCCCTCCCACAAAATCATTGTTCCTTTACATGTGTTGAGCTCTTCCATTGCCCTGCTTATAATGTTCCATCTGCTGGAAATTCTCTTTATTTTTTCTCTCTACCTGTCTGACTTCAGCTCATCTTTCCATGCCCCAGGTATAATGTTTCATTTTCCATGAAACTTTCTCTGTTCCCACTCAGCCAAAAGTAATCCTCTCAAACCCTTTGCATTTTGTACTTGTCTTGGGGTACTTACTGCATTCTCTTTTAGGGCTATTTGTATATAGGGCAGATTTGGTCTCCCCTGGGAGACCTAATTGCTCCTTGGAAGACGGGCTTTTTTTAGCCATCACTCAGTCATTCCCCACAGCATCCAACCATTAATATTCACTCACACATTCGGAGCTCAACTTATGTTCATTGAGTGAATTGTTAGTCAGCATCTTGAAAATGTCTTCAGTTTGCTTTATCTTTTTGATCCAGATAACCTTTTGAGCCTACTGTTATCTATAAGGGCTATAGAACAAACAGCTCTGAAACAAAAAACACTTCACCTCATGTTGATATAGTTAGTAAGTTTATGGCCTGAGAAAATCTGTGCCTTTTAAACCTCAGAGGGCAGGTGTATTAACAAACTACAGAATTTTCAAATAAATGAAGAATTCCATTACCTCACTATTGCTGTTGATGAATTGGCCTCTGACGAAACTTAAGCATCAAAACACACAGCTCTTTTTAGGTGAGAGGCTGACACGAGTGATTTGATTAACTTTAAGAAAAATCTTATGAAAAGAACTGTTGAACTTTCCTTAGTTTGTTTCTGCCTTGGAGTATGCCCTATATCATAAAAAGTGGCCAAATCTTTTTCCATGACCTGTATTTTATTGTCACAAAGTGTTATTTCTTAGGCACAAACTAGGTTCAGAGGCTACAAATTTAGAATCACAGAATCAGCAAATCCCAAGGTTGGAAGGGACATTAAAGATCAGGTTGTCAGGTAGCTGAGTTCCCACCACACATTTATCTGCCCTTCAGAATTAGGCAGTTCTCTACTTTTTGAGGTTATCCATTCCATCATTTGGATATCAAAAACTCCTGTTAGAAAGTTTTTGCTTCCAAAATTTAATGCTGAATAATTCTTTCTCTTGCTGTGGCCCTTGTGCTGGTTCTGATTCTAACTCTTGGACAGTGTAATCACTTTGCTGTAATACTTAAGGCAACACTCCTGTTTCTCTCCAGGTTAAATATCTTCTGATCTTTCATCTCTTCCTTTTGTCTCTTAAAAATACAATGTTCAAAACTATGGACAATATTTCAAGTAGAGTCTGACCTGTGCTGTGTAGGAAATCTCAGTTTACACATTGAAGATAAATTGTATTTCTGTTACTGTATCTAATATCACATTAATTTGGGGACAACCTCATCCTTCTTGACTCCCTTCAAAAATATATTGTTACTTAAGCCTGTAAAACTTTTTCATACATAGGTAGGTTTAACTCACCTATCCTGTACTTCTACAGTTGTTCTTTTAGGAAGTGGAGGACCTTAGATTTATTCCTGTTCAAATTCATTCTCTTAGATTCAGCCCTTTAAAACAGCCTGTTGAAGTATTTTTGGTTCATGGTTGGGTCATCCAGCATATTTGTCTTCTTGCCCAGCTTCTTGTCATCTACAAATTTGATAAGTATGTTTTCTTTTCTCCATCTTAGTTACTAAACGAGATGTTGAGGCAGGCCAGACTGGAATCATTCCATTGCACCATGCTATTGCTAGTAGATTTTAATGAACCGGATTAATTATATATGGAGATAGAATTGTCAATGTAGCCTGAATATTCCATGATTATTGCAGGAATTGTCTTTTAGGTGAGTAGTCCTGATGTAGCTGTTTAGTAACTATTTAATGAGAGATAATAGAAATTTAAGTATGGTCGTGAGAATGTGATTAGGAACTAGCTTGGAAAGTTGATGACCCTGTTTATATTCTTATATATCATTAAATATGCTATTGTATTTATTAATTAATAAAATGTCATTCTTATATTCTCATGTAAGATCTTAAGCCGAGAAAACCCTCTAGACTGATTAAAAGCAATGTAGTATAGAAGAAAGAGCCCTAAACTTGGCCCTGAGTTTATTAGTTTGTTTATTTAGCAAATATATATCAAGTATCCACAGTACTTAAGCCCTGAAAATACAATGATAATAAAAAACCAGATTTGATATTTGTCTTCAATGGAGCCTACATTCTAACGGGGAAAACAATTTGATAATTACACAGATGAAATCATACTACTTTCTGTGATTTATATTCTGGACAGCACGTGCTGTCCAACAGAAATAAAATGCAAGTCACATATTTAATTTAAAAGTTTCTAGTAGCTTCCCTTAAAAAATAAAAAGAAAAAAACGAACTTAATTTTAATAATACGTTTTATTTAATGCAATATATCTGAAATAACATTTCAACATATAAGCAATGTAAAAATTTTGAGATATTTATATTCTTTTTCTCAAATTAAGTTTGAAAATCTTAAACTTAAATACCACATCTCAGTTTGACTTAGCTCTATTTAAAGTGCTTATATAACCAGCCACATGTAGCTAGTGGCTTCCATACTGGACAGCACAGTAACTTACCCACCTTTACAGACTACTCTGTAGTTGGACAAATTACTTGCCTTCTGTAGGACTCCTGTTTTCATGAGTAAAATTAAGGATTCAGACTTCCTTATCTTCTACAACTACAAGTTATTCCTTCCATGTGTGAAGCAGCCTTCTGAGTTGCTCTAAGTAATTTATATCTTGATCTGGGTGGTGCTCACACAGCTGTATATAGTATGTACCCTTAAGATTTATATGCTTTATGGTATCTCTGTTTATACCTCAGTAAAAGTCTTTTTTAAAGATTTTATTTTTTTATTTGGTTATATTATAAGGTTTTATTTATCCTTGGGATTTGCTTATATTATAAGGTTTTATTTATCCTTAGAGAGAGGGAAGAGGAGAGGGAAAGAGGCAGAAAAACATCGATTTGAGAGAGAAACATTGATTGGTTGCCTCTCGCATGTACACTCACCAGGACTGAATGCACCACCCAGGCATGTGTCCTGATCAGGAATCGAACCAGCGACCTTTTGTAGTTCGCCCAACCAACTGAGATACGCTGGTCAGGGCTCCTCAGTAAAAGTTTTTTAAAAATCACTTCCAATTTTTTTATTCTGTGCTCTGCTGAAATCACTCAGATGAGCTGACCTTCGGTGGCAATGTGTGATGTGAAAAATGCAAACAGCCAGTGACTCTTTATATCTTCTTCCCACCCAGGATGTGTCTAGTCCGAATGAAGCAGGAAGGCCGGACTGGGAAATACATGTGTCGTATCATAGTTCATTTTATGTGGGAGGATGTCGAGCAGCGTGGCAGAGTCATGGGGGTAAGTGAGTGCTCTCAGATCCGGTCCTGGAAGCTCCAAATGAGAGATTGAGTTGAAGTTTGATGTATTCACATTGGCCTTGCTTTTATTTTATTTTTCAATTACAGTTTACCTTTAATATTATTGTGTATTAGTTTCAGATGTACAGCATGGTGGTAGACAATTACACACTTTACAAAGTGGTCCCCCTGATATTTCAAGTACCCACCTGGCAACATACATAAAAGAGGGAACTAAAAAAAAACCAAAAACGAATTATCTTCTGCAGAGTAGGTGCCTTGTAGTACAGGCTTCCCCTACTAGGTGAGTATTCTAGGAACTCATCTGTAGTAGTGTACCAGCTGGTGGTGGTGTGAGAGGCTGCGTTTGGTTTCAGTGAATTTTTTGAAGACTCTTTTGACGTGTTTGCCCATTTCATGATGGGTGATTTATGAGTGCACTTTCCCATGCTTCACTGAGTGTTCAGCAGTTTTTGACCAAAAATGACATGACCCTTGTGCCCACATCTCACCCTGAGCGACTTTATTTTGTTTGAATGAAAACAAATGAATTATATTTGCTGAATGAAAAAAGTCCTCAGAGGGAAGTGTTTTGTTGGTGTGGAAGAGGTGAAACAAAAAATGGCAGAAGCACAAAAAGCCATCAAAATCAATGAATTCAAAAACTTTTGAGCAGTGGAAAATCATCTCAATAGGTATATTGCATCAAATGGAGAGTACTTTGAAGGTGACTGAAATTTAAACATGTAAGAATAAAGACACAATTTTTTATAAATAAATTCCAGTTTTTGGATCCTTTGTTGTAGTTACTACAGTATTTTTGACTATATTCTTTATGCTGTACTTGACATAGCCATGATTATTTTATAATTACCAATTTCTTAATTTCTTCACCTTTTTTTACCCATCCCCTCAACCCACTTTCCCTCTGGCAACCATTTTGTCTGTTTTCTTTGTTTCTATTTTGTTTATTTATTTTGTTCTTTAGATTCCACATATAAGTGAAGTCATATGGTATTGTCTTTCTCTGCCTGACTTATTTCACTTATCATAATACTCCTAGGTCCATTCATGTTGTAAATGGTAAGATTTCATTCTTTTTTATGGCCGAATAATATTCCTTTGTATGTATTTACAACTTTTTTATCCATTCATCTATTTTGGGGAACTTGGGTTACTTCCATAACTTGGCTATTGTAAATAATGCTACAGTGAACACTACAAAAATGCTACAATGAATTAGTGTTTTGGGTTTCTTTGGATATATACTCAGAAGTGGAATCGCTGTGTCATATGGCGGCAGTTCTATTTTTAATTTTTCAAGGAACCTCCCTACTGTTTTCCATAGTGGCTGCACCAATCTGCATTCCCACTAGCAGTACAAAAGGGTTCACTTTTCTCTATATCCTCACTACCTTTTGTTGTTTGTTGATTTATTGATGATAGCTATTCTGAAAGGTATGGGGTAATATTTCACTGTGGTTTTAATTTGCATGGATTAATGTGGTTTCTTTAATTACAGAGCAAAGCTCTATGGATTGAGAGGTAAACAAAGTGTATAGATATATTATGCCATGCATGTTCATAGAATAACATGATTAGTGGCATTGTGTATCTTTTGATACAGCTATTGGCAATCTGTATGTCTTCTTTGGAGAAGTGTCTGTTTAGGCCCTCTGTCCATGTTTTAATTGGATTGTTTGATTTTTTGGTGTTGAGTTGTGTGAGTTCTTTCTTAATTTTAGATGTTAACCCCTTTTTGAATGTATCATTGGTGAATATCTTCTCCCATTCAGTGGGTTGTCTTTTTGTTTTGCTGATGGTTTCCTTTGCTGTACAAAACTTTTAGTTTGATGTAGTCCCATTCGTTTATTTTTTTCTTTTGTTTCTCTTGCCCGAGGAGATATATCAGCAAAAATACTGCTAAGATAAATGTCAGAGATTTTACTGCCTGAGTTTTCTTCTAGGAGTTTTATGGTTTTGATTCTTAAATGTAAGTCTTTAATCCATTTTGAGTTTATAGAACGGCCTTGCTTTTAGATTTCTGTGAAATGCAACTAATGAAGATAGTAATTCAACTAGAGTCGCTTCTGCCTCCATGGAGACTGACATGCATTATGTCTGTGCACATTATCAAGGTTTGTCAGTGTGAGGACATCCTGTATACAGAGATGGGCTTATTAAAACCAAATCATGGTGATAGGAGGGATGGATTTGGTGAATGAATGGAGAAAATCAAATAATAATCCAGTTTAAGGACACTGTGCTTTGACATTGATTCAGTGTTTGAACCAGTCCCCCTCTAATTTAGTTTGGATGAAAAGACCCTGGTAAGGGGCCTGCACTGTCCTCAGGTACTAGAAAATAAGCTTCTTGATCACTAACAACCTAGAATATTTTGGCAAATTATCTACTGAAAATGTACATTAGTGCATTTAGTAATTAAGCTGAGAAAGGAGAATATATAGAATTTATATAACATAGAATGATGACAATAGAAAGATAAAACCAAAATATTAGAATACAGTTGGTTAAATAATACTCTTCCTTTGTGTATTTTGTGTATTTTATGTGTCTAGACCATGTTTTAGTAAACTATAGTTCCTTGTTTTTTCTCATTTTGTTGCCTCCCAGCTTGGGAGCATCTAAAGCAAAGGAGAATCATCAGACAGGGTCACAAAATGGGTTAATTTGGTTTCTTTTATTACAGAGCAAAGCTCTCCCTGTAGATAGAGAGGTAAACAAAATTTATAGAGGTATTATAAAAGTCATGAATAGAATAAAAATCAAACAGTAAAAAGCATTTAATATAAAAAACAAGTGTCTTTTCCCTAGTCCAACTTCCCTGAAGTAATTACTGTTAACAATTGATGAGTATCTTTCTAGCTGGTTTCTGTACAAATACAGAAGTATAACTATATATTCTTTTAACATAGCACAAATGGACTTATATCCACACTGTTTTGCATCTTGGCTTTTTTACTTAATATATATTAGGTATGTTTTTACTTTACAACTGTTTTCAAAACTCAGATTTTTTTTTTTTTAGTTTTATTGATTATGCTATTACAGTTGTCCCAATTTTTCCCCCTTTGCCTCCCTCCACCCAGCACCCCCCACTCCCTCAGGCAATCCCTACACCATTGTTCATGTCTATGGGTCATGCTATAGGTTCTTTGGCTACTCCATTTCCTATATTTTACTTAACACTTCTATGGCTATTCTATATCTACTTATTTGTACTTCTTAATCCCCTGACCTCTGCACCCACCCTCCCACAGTCCCTCCCATCTGACAACCATCAAAACATCCTCTGTATCCATGATTATGTCTCTGTTCTCGTTTGCTTAGTTTGTTTTTTAGATTCAATTTTTGATAGATATGTATTTATTGCCATTTTATTGTTCATAGTTTTGATCTTTTTCTTAAATAATTCCCTCTAACATTTCGTATAATAATGGTTTCATGATGATGAACTCCTTTATTTTTTTCTTGTCTGGAAAGCTCTTTATCTGCCCTTCCATTCTAAAGGATAACTTTGCTGGGTAAAGCAATCTTGGTCATAGGTCCCTGCTTTTCATGATTTTGAATATTTCTTGCGAGTCCCTTCTAGCCTGCAAAGTTTCTTTTGAGAAATCAGCTGGCAGTCTCATAGGAATTCCGCTGTAGGTAATTGCCTTTCTCTTGCTGCATTTAAGATTCTCTCTTTATCTTTAACCTTTGGCATTTTAATTATGATATGTCTTGGAGTGGGCCTCTTTACATCCATCTTGTTTGGGACTCTCTGTGCTTCCCTGATGTGCATGTCTTTTCCTTCACCAAATTAAGGAAATTTTCTTTCATTATTTTTCAAATAGATTTCCAATTTCTTGCTCTTTCTCTTCTTCTGGCACCCCTATGATGTGGATGTTGGAACATTTGAGGTTGTCCCAGAGGTTGCTTACACTACCCTCATTTTTTTGGATTCTTTTTTCTTCTTATTCTGATTGGTTGTTTTTTGCTTCCTTACATTCCAAATTATTAATTTGATTCTCAGCTTCATCCACTCTACTGTTGTTTCCCTGCAAATTGCTCTTTATTTCAGTTAGCATATCCTTCATTTCTGACTGGATCTTTTTTTATGGTGTTGAGGTCCTTACTAAGTTCCTTGAGCATCCTTATAATCAGATGCACTCTGCATCTGATAAATTGCTTATCTCCATTTTGTCTAGTTCTTTTTCTGAAGCTTTGATCTGTTCTTTCATTTGGGCCATGTTTCTTTGCCTCCTCATTTTGGCAGCCTCCCTGTGTTTGTTTCTATGTATTAGGTAGAGCTCCTATGACTCCCTGCCTTCGTAGCACAGCCTAATGTAGTAGGTGTCCTGTAGGGTCCAGTGGCACAGCCTCCCCTATTACCCAAGCTGAGTACTTGAGGTGCACCCTTCATGTGGGCTGAGTACACCCTCCTCTTGTAGTTGAGCCTTGGTTTCTGTTGGCAGAAAAATGGGAGGGATTGGCCAGTCAGCTGCAAGAACTGGCCGTGACCACCAACCTGTGGAGGATCAACTGTGCAGGGGCTGGGTGGTGATGCTCCAGTGTGGTCTGTAGCTGGCCACTGGGTGCACAGGCTCTGGGGTTTCCCAGGTGGTGCAGGCCAAGGTCAGCCCCCACCTGTGTTTTGCCTGGGGCCACTTGTCTGAGCTGTGAAGCAATCTGAGATGGATGCTACTTGTGCTGGGCTTAGAGATTCCCAGGTGACGCCAAAGGGTGAATCGAGGCTGGCTGCTGCTAGTGTTGGGCAGGGGTCCACTTAGCAAAAGTATGGAGGCTGGGGGCTTACTGAGGCTGACTCTTGCTTGTTTGAGAGGATTTAGGAAGTTGTGAGGCATAAGCCAAGACCAGCCATCCATACATAAAAGCTGCTTGGGTGGGCTCTTAAGTTGTTTGGGACTGAGTCTCCAGGGCAGGGCAAACAGTGTTAGCCAGGTTGACGGAGTCTCAGATATAGCACCAGCCTACTGG